GCTCGTCTACCTGCTTAGTCTACCTGCCTAGTCTACCTGCTTAGTCTAGCGATGAGCGCTGACATCTATTTTAGTGCAAACCAGCCCAATGAGTGGGACGACATCTATAAGCTGTGGCCCCCACTATTACTGGAGCACCACATCGATTTTGGATAAACCCATCCTGGGGATTGTTCAAAGTATACCTGCTCAACATTATTTATGGCTTTCCACAATTATCACGATGCTCCCCGAAGGGCCCTATTAAGTTTGTATCAATGCGATTACGACCGAAGTATGTGCAACGTTATCGGTTCCGCTAAGATACTCCTTAGCAACACAAGAGGCCCTCCTCACCATCCGTGATATGTGTATCGGTGGGCACCTTGACGTCCGCGGTGCTTTGGGATAGACTACAAAGCCTTTACAATTAACGCAACCGTTCCCACTCTTGCTCTCTCTCATACGATCCTGTATTAATCAACACAGACTACCGCAACCTAAGATATACACATCGACAGAGGGCGGTTTTAGTAACTGGTAGACACTTTCAATAAAGTTATTAAAATCTGTGTACATAGATACACGTCTGTTTTTAAAAAGGTTTTCGCAAGCAGCAGAAGAAAGTAGAAGATATACCTATTGAGTTGGATCTGAGTATTTGTTGCTTTCTGAAAGACGTCCATTAATCAAGGATCCGTTGCAAATGTAAGACAAAGGCGGTCAGATAGAAATGCCAAAGAGATAGGCAGTGGCCACAGTCTAGTGGGTGTGTCCCTAATCGCTTATCGTTGTGCCTTTATGCACTGAGCACTCACTATTGTTACGACCAAATAAGCTCTGATGCACTAGGATATGAATCCGAGAAGAATGATTTGGTACTGGCGGTTCTTATCTGTTATTATTGTTTAACTGTTGAGTAGAATCAGCAATGAACAATCTTTTGAACCCTTAAGCCTTTTAATATATAACCTTCGGTCAATGTTTGAAAGGTGTGAAGTTTTTGAACTCTTACTGCGGTCTTCACACTACCGCGGTTAACCAGTGCTTTGGACAGGAATTTTACGTTGATTGATTATAGAGGTTGAAAGCTGTTTGCCATAATTATTGCTCGCAAAAATTTCAAATATCCTTGACGTATCTAAAACTCAGCACAGTAGTGTAGGCTTCAGTAGTTAGCAATGGAGGATAGCATTAAACATCGACTGGTTTGGTAGAATAATCAGTCCCGCCATCAAATTACAGTTTAATAGTCAGACAAATAGAACTCATTCAGAAATTCTTTTTCTCTTTTTATATAATAAATATCGCCAGAAGTAGAAAAACAAAAAATCAATATTTAACGGGAGCATACTATTTATTACCCACTTACGATAAACGACAGCATATATGCAGGTCGCTAAATCGTTTAACTAAAATTACTTTTGTTGTCTTGTTATCTAAGCTAAACAGTAAACGGTTTTTTTTTTTTTTTTTGTTTCTTAAACTTGTCTATGTGTTATTTACAAGTTAGTTTTCCATTTTGTTTTTAATATTTTCCTTTTCTTTTTTTTCCTCCTCTTTCTTTAAGCTTCAATTTCGTACTTTAAATAAGTTTGATAAATTTTTTTTTTGTTGTTTTTTATGATTCTCTTCTCCTATATACGTATTAATCGCTTTTATGGTTTGTTATTCTGCCCGGAGGTTACTTTTGCATTTTTATCTCTTGTTTTTCTAAATCACTTTTCGTTTATTTAAATGTAAAACGAAAATTTCTTCTGTTCTACAGAAGACTTGGGAAATTTCCAAAATTTATACGATATTATTATTAAGTATGTAATTTGTGGTTGGTTACGTTACTTGATTTGATTTATGTTATTATACCAATTAGTGGAAGATGAGCGGTGTATTCATTTTGTCAAAGAGTTTGCGCCATCTAGAAGAAAGCTTCCGAGACTCAATGAAGAATGAGTTCTTATTTTTGACCAGTCTCAAATTCAGAATCAATTCAGGCATGCTTTTCTGTTTGCCTGCTCATTTGTCCGTCTGTCTGTAATGTTTTTGTTTTTCTTCCCGCAAAAAAGAAGCTATCGGATTTAAATTTAGCAGGAACATGGAAAATTCTCGGATGCAGGTTGGTATAGAAATCGGTCAAAGTGCACGCCGACAGTATCACGTGAGGTGAGAGCAGCTCTGTTTACCTAAAGGGGAAAGAATTACATTTTTTTCCTCATTACTCCTAAGTAAAGCAGATACACCTATAAACAATTACACGAAGATTCTATGGACGATCCTATGGTGCTTGTGTAAAAATAGAACAAATCGGCCCCGCCTATCCAATATTATAGTGCACCAAAATTTGATTTCATTGTCATCTACAATACTCGAAAGCAAGTTTTGAAAACTCGATAAAGTATAAGCATTCCTGTCCAGTATCAAACTCGGAGGGCACCCAAACATGTCCATCTATCCGCCTGCTCTACCCTGCGGCAAACATTTTTTCTTTCGCTAAAACGCAGACATCGTTTTCAAGTTGCAAAAGAATATGAAAATGACCCCAACCGTTCAAAAAACACGCCTACAATGCAACAAAAACTGAGAACACCTTCACTTTCCCACTTTTTTGCTCGTTACTCATAAAAGCGGCAGATACACGTTCTAAATTTCCATTTTTATTCTACAAAAATAGAAAATATTAGCCACGCCCACACAATTTATTGTAGAATGTGGGCAATTAGTTTTTCCTTTTTTTAGGGTAACAGTACTGGGTGCAAAAGAGTCGTTCACAGCCGAATTTTAAATTTATGTTATTGTTGTAATTATGACAATGTATTCTCTATCTTTGGAGAGATCTAAATCGATATCACTGTGATATACTTGTTTTTGTTGCTTTTTAAATTAAATGGATTTTGTTGTCATTGCAAGATAACTACTTAAGACTGAATAGAGCTAAAAGATTCTCCAGGCGATTTGAATACGATTGGATAGCTCTTTCCCATTCCCGGGGAATTCTTGTTGTTTAGTCTGACGAATTGAAAACTCGCGGCTCTCAAGGGATTTCTTATGCTGCCATATTTCTAAAATAATCGCGCATTTCGCCGGTCAGTGAACTTTCCTTTGACTTCCACGTATTAAAGTTTTCTGCTTCACAAGCAGTATCAGACGTTGCTTGGGGTGGTTTACTAAAGCACCCCTAAAGCGTCAAAGATTATCAAAAGTTTCTAATGAGTTATATGCACTGCACATAGCTATGGTTGTCTGCCGAGGTATCCGTATTACGCGTTACGCAAACTTTTCTGCTTAGAAACTCTATACAAAGAACCTTTGAGGAGCTTATGCTCTAATCGGGCTTACCTCCCTATGCATTGAACTCTTCTAAGCGAAGCGAAATGATTTTCATGAACTTATTCGCTCACACGCCCACCTATTATTCGATAAAGGCCATGCTCAGTTCTGACTAAATGTTGGGAGAGCAAATGGAAGCAAATCGATTTTACAATTTACACTCACCGAGAATATATTCGTTATAGCATTTCCATACTCTAATTTTATTCGCCAGATAATTATAAAGACCTTCACTGAACTTCAAAGAAGTATTTATAAGGCATGTAGCTTCCAAAATATTTTATTGACTTTTACCTAAACGAAGACAGCTTCAAATATCTCTACAATCAGTTTTTTTACACACATCTATTTCCATCAAAATTGATCACGTTGACCCATAATAATTGTGAAATCGCTGCGATCGCTAAAAAGAAGACAAAAACCTGGAATCCAAGCATAAAAATCTATATGATTTGTGGACATTCATGTAGACAATGTAGAAGGAACTGAGCGAATCTGAAAAACAACATATTTTCGTCAAGAATTATTGATTTTGTAAAACTATTCCCGAAATAGTGCTACCTAAATGCTCGTCAGAACCATCCGCATGTTCCGGATCGGCTATACCTACATGCCCGTAATTAACGATAACAGTTTAAGTCCAATATATTTCCAATTTCTTTAGAGCATATTAGCGCGTTCTTCACCTAATACCGAATAAATTGGAAATTTATCGGAATAAAAATCTTAAATATACGTTTAGACGTAAAAATTTTATACATACAGACATAAATTTCTATACAAAAGTTGGCAGTTTTTGTGTTTATTTTGTGTTCACGATGATGGAAAACTGACTACTGCTTTATAAGTTGGAGATGGCTTTATGCAAACTATACTACCTGTGGCACAAGAGCATATTAAGTTGGTGCGGATGTATGCAACACCCAGAAGGACTTGAGATAGATTCAGCATCACTTTTTAAATCGATCTAAGCTCGTCTCTCCGTCTGTCCGCCCGTATGTCTTATTTTCTTTTATTCAACTTAAACGCCGGAATTTTCAAAGTATTTTGTTCAAATATGGTACACCGCTGTATAGGATGTACGTTTTTGAAAATCGTTCGACTCGGACCACTTTTTCGAGCACTGGCCTTGTAACATTTTATCTTGAAAAGTCGTCATATGAGTAACGGGATTGAGCAAAGTGAACCGTATAATGAGAATCTTTACGAGCAGCACAATGGTTACCGTAGTAGGTATTACATAAACTGACAGACGGACATAGTTATATCGTTTCAGCCAGAATGCAATACTAACTGATAGGATCTGTGAAAATTCCTTATGGAAGTTGCAAACGATTTGACAAACTTAGCCCACCCCGACCGTTCGATGGTTGGTATAAATAGAAACTTCAATAGAATTTTATTTATTAAAAGAATTTCTTATCATTTTCTAAAGAAAAAAAAAATTGTTTTTATTCAATTAAAGAATTGTTTTCATCGTTGTACAACAATTCAATATTATATACGCGATTGTTTTTATTTCTATTACATTACTTAAAGTCTTCGCTTTCTTTTTGCTTTCCCCTAATACCACAGCGAGTAACAATAACAACACTTTGTTATTTTTGCAGCTTACATACCGGAATTTCATTCAGTTATAATGTCTTCCACGTTTTTTTTTTCTTTCTCTCCTTTTTTTTTCATTGTTTATTTGCAAGCTTAACGTGGCCGGTCTGTCAAAGGCTTTGGTCGTTTATAAAGTCTATCAGACGATGTTTCGCGTTGTTAAGGAATCGGAAACTGTGGACAGCCGTCAGCATTGTTTTCTATTACAAAGTGCGGGACATGAGCCACGTTATCTAAGCGTTGAAACACGTCAGGAATTATTGCGAATTGAAAACAGTTGGAACGCAGCTATAGTAACGAGTGTCATTAAACTGGGGGTAAGTAAGTGTAAATTTGACCTTGAAATGAATTAACAAACATTATATAAATCAAAATCAATTTCGAATTTCCAAACACCCTACATTTGGTGGCTTTTGTTTTCTTTCTTTTTTTTCATTATTAATATCCTTTGCGTTTGAAGAAAGGAAGGGCCTGTGGGAACTTTACGCTGTAACAGTAATAAACTTTGTAAGCGCCATATATATATTATATATATATATATAATATTTGTGATTTGAAAGTTTCAATGTCACAGTTTAGGCATTCACAATAGCATTGATGTTGAATATTTTCAAAATTATCCACCCGAATGGGCGAGCAGGCTAACGCAATTACAAACGCTTTAGATAAGGAAAATACAATAAAATATTTTCTTGCTTGATTTTCATTTAATCAACTTTTCGACATCTTACTTCCTGCAACAGGATAAAGCTGAAACTTCTCATTACCACAAACTATAACAATAGATTAGTTTTCAAGAGTAACTTCGCTACAATAAAAAAAGGGTTAAGCATTCAATGCTTAATAGCAATTATGCTTTTCTCTATGCACTAAGCCAATGTTATTCACAACCAAGTGGGTGAAGTGGCTGAAAACAAATGATTCCACATCTAGGCGCGTGGGCTCTTCGCTCATCTGGTTTTTTGCGGTTATGTTGTGGCTTTTACCAACTATTGATATTTTTAACTTGTGAGCTTTTTAATTATGCAAACCTAACCACTTCAATAGCTTACAAGTGCTTATGTAGCGTGCATGATAGACAAAACGGATGAACGTCTCGTGAAGAAAGCCTTCAGACTAAGTTAAAAGGATGCAGTTGCAATTTCAGTGAACAGACTTAACCCATATCGTTTTACGGACGGTCGTAGTCAAATCGCTTGCACTATGCATGCTAATCAAGAATGTGTATATTCTCTGTGCTGCTAATAAACGATTTTTTGCAATTGAAATGTGTGTGTGTGTGTGTGTGTGTGTGTGTGTATGCTATGTGAGCATACAATAAGACATGCAAAACTAAACGAATTAAATGACACATGGCATGGAGGCAATAACGATATTGCGTGCTTTCTTATGCAATCCCATTTAATCAATATCACAATGTTTTCTCTAAGACTGTGTTACTTAGTGATTTTTATTACTTTTTCGCATAGAACATAATTTGAATCAAAAAGAAAGAAGAAAAAAGAAAAAAAGAGAATTAAAAACACAACCAAAAATTGCTTTTCATCATCAAACATATCGTGCAAATAAAGTTTCAACTTAACAAAGGCATGCACACACGGCATATATATCGTCATATCCACATGTCAACTTGTCTAAAAAGTATCAAGCTTTAATAATTTCATTTAAAATTTCATTTATTGAACGCGTATACTCATCGCGACCAATATGTGATATTTACTAGTGTTATATCTATGATATGAGGCTCAATATTTTTTAAATTTTCTAATAAACGAATATATATATATATATATATATATACATATGTTTGTAATCTTACAATCGCAAAAGCATCAAACGGAAATGCAGGCATTAAGAAATTAGGAAATTTACACATGCTGTCATGCATTGTATGTTGTGTGCAATGTAGGCAAAGTGCTATACCGATGTCAATGCCCCTTTCAATCTGTACTTACTACTTACATTGCTAACACATAAAACTTACAATTTACTTTGCTTTTACTTACATACGATATACAAACGGAAGCTTATAAGGATAGATATATATATATATATATATATATATATAAATGTATATGTGTGTATATATGCGTAGTTACAATAGATTTATTCACATACGTTATTTAGACGAATGGCAGGAATGCATTCATTCAAAGGCAAAGAAGAATCGATAAGCTTTAGGTGCAGTTTTTTTCTTTTCTTCTCTTTCTATAGTAACATGCAATACAATCGAATGTATGCAACATATGTGCGAGTTGTGTTCGTTTTGAAATAGAAATTTAAAATTCATAAAATCTAAGTGAGTGTGAATGTGTAGATATAATACATACATAATAGATATACACATATTTAAATAAATAATTATGTAATTAAAACTTATTATAAAATCATTTCCGCGCCAAGTGTTGTACAATATTTCAATTCGTTACATTCATAAAGAGGTAAGCAAATTATAAACGTTTTTAGGCTTTCGAACGGAAACTGGAGTGGTATACTAACCATGCCATTCTTTTCGTAACACAATTATGCACCAAATATGTTATATAAGCAAAAGGAACGTTCACGGATCCTCAGTATTTACCTTATCATTATGGTCGACCGTCCGTCCATGCGTCCGTTTTCTATTAAGCTTGTAAACAGGACAAAATTTGAGATAACAATTTCTGACTTAATACATATTTTCTTAGTCTACGCTTAAACGATCGAATGTTATTTTCTTCAGACTTATTTGGAGTAATCGGAAAATTTCTCCCAAAACGGACTCATGCATAACCTTATTAACCCTATATATTGATCGAGATGTGTGTATTTACGCATTAAATTCTTCCACATACGAATTCGTTCGCTCTCTATAATCCTTGGCAATTACCGTTAGAGCAGATAATTTTAAAGGAGAAACTCGCTGCAGCTTTTTTACATCTCAGCATTGAAACGGAAAAAATCCTGCAAGCACTGGTGTAGCTATTAAACTCAATAAATATTAAGTTCAAAAAAAATTGTCTTGCTCCCCTGTAAACGCGGTCAAGACAACTGAAAAGCTGAACCCATTTATGAAACAGAACTTTCAATAAATTAAACCTTGAGAAAACCGTCGTTTTTCATTAGAGTCGGGGGGCTTTCCCTCTCTATTCGTCTACAAGGGAATATAGTTTTCATAATTGTGTTGAGTTAGGTTTTACGAAACAATTTTTTAAAATTTATTTTAAATTTATTCCCAAAATTTATTCATCTTTTTTATTCATATTTTTTTGGACTGCTTCTGTTCACGCAAGAATACTCGCATAAAATGAAAATGCATTTGAAAGGAGAAAAAAATCACTTTGTTAAACAATTCTTACTAGAAATCGCCGAGTGGTTGCAATGATAATTTACTTTTCTCATCAATTTTTCAAAAAATAACCTTTTTAGCAATCGACACAAGCGAAGCATAAAAAGTAAACAAGTAAAAAAATTATAATCGATTGCGACCGAATCGCTGTTATCCTACAAAAAAGTTGGCATAAAGGAAAAATATAAAATTGCCAATTCCAAAACATTGGGTGGGCGTGACTCGTTTTTTTCAATTTTTATAGAATAATTTATATCAGGTGTCTGCTGTAGCTCATGAGCAAAGGGCAAAAGGCAAAGGAAAACAAAGACGTGTCTTTGATTATATGGATGTGTGAGCGTTGTAGGCCTTCGTTTGACCCTTATATTGGCGGCCATTTCAAATTTTTTTGCAAATTATAGCGAACGCAAGGATGTGTACCAAAGATGCTACACAGTTGGGAAGGGAGACAGATGAACGAACTAACACCCATCCTAACGTAACATACTTACGAACATTCGGAACTTGAAACTGACCAAGAATTTATATACTTTAAGGGGCTTTTGAAGCTTGCTTCTGAGCGTTATAAAGATATCGAAAGAAATTTAGTTTTGATACACGATGATATTGGGCACGATTTTGTACATTTTTGTGCAAGAAAAGAATTTTTCAATCCTTTCGGACCACAGAGACGGCCCTCACCTTACGCAGTGGTCTAGGCGAGTCCTTCGACCAATTTGGCTCATTTTCATTACCAAGCTGCGAGCAAGAAGATCCAATGCTTCTGCAAAATTTGAGATCGTTAGCTTTATTGCTTGCGGCCAGCAGATAGCACAACACACATAACACAGATGGACAGACGGAAAGGCGGATTAAAAGTTTGAGGCTGATCACTAGAATATACACTTTGTGCGGTGTCTTAAGTTTTCTTCTGGGCGCCGTAAACATTATGACAAATTGAATACATCTCTTACCCTTGGGTAGTTGATAGAATAAAGCTTTTAGAAATAATGGATTCAATGAAAATTTTCAATAAAGCTAATCAACAGTAAACAAAAAAAGCTTAAGTAATTCATTAGCTCCTACTGAAGACTTCTGACAACAAACGTTAAACAAAATTGTTTGTTTGCTGCTTACTCTATGAAGCTGACTATAAAATTCATAACCTGTAGTTAGCAGATGCAAGCTAAGGTATTTACTGGCTTCATAAAAAAAAATGGAAAAATGAAAAATAAAAGACAACAAAAAATAATTGTTTTACTTCTTTAAAGAAGATCATAGTCCATCTGGTTGCGGTTAATTCTTCCTCCCACCACGAGCAATAAACTCTTTAAGCAATTGAACTACGTAGTGAAGCCAACATTATTATCACAATTGCCAGGTGCGCAAATAAGCCCCTTCTTGCTCTAGCTGCCTGTTACTATAAGTATTTGTCAAACTGTAACTTTTCCATATGGCGGCATTACCTTTATGCCTTACGCAACAGAATAAGTTATTATGGGGAAATATACAAAGCATTATTTTTGTCAACTTTAAATAACTCAAGTTCCGCGCCAAAACGAATGTCAAGTGCAGGATGTTTTACTTTCCTTTCCCAATTCGCAATAAAAAACTACTGAACCTGCACGATGAGAGCAAGCAGTAGAATATTAGCTGCTTAAAAAACTTTATCGCAGGCAAGGCGGTCTTATATGTATAGCTTCGGTGACGTTACTAAGGGAACTTAACTTTGTAAATAATTTGTATAAGGTGTTGCAGTCTGCACATTTCCATGGAGGAACGGTATTAATATTGATTCAATTGAGCCGACTATTAAAGCCGCAAATTTTCAAGAAGGCGTTATAAAAACCAATTCAAGGAAACGTTAGCGTCACTGGGCTTACAGGTTCTATAGCCACCGCCATATTCAAGAGCTATTCTTTGTTCTAATTAAAACTTGTTCTAACCCATTCGTTATTATCGGTCTGAGCATCGCTTTTATTCCTATGGCGACACCGCAAATGCCCTGCTCCTTGTGGTACAGAATTCACATCCTAAGAGAAAGATGGGAAAGATATAAAGCCAACGGCGTGTAGTAGATTGAATGAATTATGTTTTCCATTCTCTTTCAATTGGCGCTATTTTCATTGTAAGGAATGATTGACAAGACCGTAGGATTAGGGATCAATTGGCTTAACTTAGCCGTTGACTCCGACATTATTATTATACGCATAGGGGAAAGTTTGTTTAGTTTAGCCGCTATCCCTGAATAACCACTAGGGTGGACAGATAGAGAAAATATGTTGTAGGTCATGTCCCCGGATACATGCCTATAAACTGGGTGTCAGGAGGGAAAGTATAAAATTTGAAACCGTGATACCGCGAGCGCGAAATCATAATTGGATTAGGAACTCAAGTCGCTGTGCTGGTTTCTTTGTTCCCTACAACTTTAAATCATAAGGATATTTACCGTTAACATTGTGACAGGAAACTCAACAATCCAGGCATTTTGATACTATAAGTTTCTTGGAAACTGACTTTGCAGAAACTCCTCAGCTACACCCCGGCTTAGAAGCAACCCTACACAACTACTACTTCCATAAAAAGTGAGTGTAGTACTCAGCGCCTGTGAATCCTTATTAACAGCATCAAAGCGAGTGTAACTTGTTCTCTGATGATTCGATGGGTAAAGACTGTGCAACAGGAAAGTGCCAGATATTAAACGAAACGTCGGTCGAAAAGTGCCCGAAATGGTTATGTTTCAAAAGTATGGGCTTAGTGGCCACAGCGTATGCGGCGCCAACAAGATTTGAATTAAACAACGGTACTTCCAATCCTGTTCGAGCCTTTCAGTACAAGCTTCCAAACTAAATTGTTACAGATCGAAAAGTGGACAGGAAGCAGGCACTTTCTCATAATGAGATTTCATGATCTGCGGGAAACAACCGAAGACTCGAAATTCAGCTTCCGAGCAAGGGGGGGCCTTTGGTCAGCCGGCTCTCCAGCTCGGGAAGTCGAGCTTATCTACAAAACGACACTCAAAACAACATGCCTACTACTGTGCCACGCCTCAGATGGTATCGTGCCTACCGATCCACATACAGTGACGAGCAGCTGCATATAGATTTGACCTCAATATTTTCTATGTAAGAATTGGTAGTTGACTGCTTGATTCCAATACGTTCACGTTCACGCAACAAAAATGTCGCAAGCATTTACAAAATTGTAATAAACCGATCGAAACGTCATACCCCATGTGTGAAAAGTAGAAATTGCCTCTTAAACAGAACGCAATTTGATATCAGATCGCATGCATTCTCGTTCAGTGCAACCCCATCAAAGTCAATCTGTTTTGCATTTTTTCAGTTTGAGAAAAAAGTAGTCAGAGGAACCGCAGTCTTTCTTGTATATTTAATAAAGAGAAGCGTTACTAATGTAAAAGCGTCAAATCGAAATAACACAAATTGTTAGATTTTTATACGTGTTTCAGAATTAGTGTAAAAGGAAAATGGAAATGGAAATGGAAATGGAAAGAAGAAAGAGCTTCATGCAAATCGAAGCATAGATTGTAGATTAAGAAATAATGCTTTAGTGCATGGAATGCAAATTGAATACATTGCACACACACACACACACACACACATTTACATTTACATTATTTCAAACTACTTCCTTAACTTACCTTAGTGAGTCTTTACAATTGTTGGTGTTCGTGTTCGTGTCGTTGTTGTTCTTCTTCTTTAGTTTGCCTTACTTTCACAATCACAGTTTTATTGCGATGTAACTGAATGCAAAATCTTTTAATATCCCCTTAGGACTAAGTTGTTTATTAATTAAATTATCATGATTATGCATCACCGGAAAGAGGAAACAACTTCACCACAAACTATGTGATTAGTAACTTTTCAAAATGTTGCCGTTCTTTCTTCTTCTCTGCCATTTGAGAGAATATTTTTTTTTGCTTTTTTTTTTTTTTTTGTGTTTTTATTGTTCTAAAATTGTAAAAACATTTATATTAAATGAGACAGCAAAGTTTATAACAAACATTCCTGCTCGTTCTACTCTAACCTACTTAGCACAATTTACTATTATAAGTGCTTGCCGTCATCATTCATGGCGCTACTAGCGCTAGCCATCTATTTACATATATAGTTAGTAGTTAGGCTTAACAGTAATGATGATGTATAGTGACTTCAAACAGGAATCTTTTCTCTTCTTTTGCTCTTTTAACCATATACATACAGACACACACACACACACATATATATATATATATATATATATATATATAATTTTTTTAATTTTCCTCTCTTTATGAAACAGCGTAAAACTTTCGCTGTGTCACATCACGGTAAAAGCGGTGGCTTGACATTAGACTGGCAAACGGGTTTCTCGCTAGCGGAGGGCGCCGACTCTGCCATTGTTTGGCAATACAAATTCTCACAATTACGCGGCTCCAGCGATGATGGAAAATCAAAATTAAAATTACATTTCCAGGACCATGAAACGCGAGCGATAGAAACGAAAGTAAGTGCAAATTATTGAAATACGTAATCATTTTACTTCACTAAAAGTTACGTCTTTTTTTATTTTTATTTTTTTTTTTTATTGACACATTTTGCGTTTTCCATTTTCCCTGTTTTTTATTTTTTTACTCTGCCATTAAGAAGAAAGTTTCTATAAGTAATTTATTATAGTAACGATATTTTGTTCGTTCGTTCAATGTTTTCCTTTACTTTATTCTTTTATTTTTCATTCCTCTTAATAAAATAATATTATATAATGCATTGTCTGCTTTCAAAAAAATTGCTTCTTTTTCATTTTTTTCATTTATTGTAAAAAAAAAAAAAAAAAAAAAAAATTTGGAAAAAAAAGTTTTTTCTTTTATATTTGTTTACATTCACCGCTAAGAAGGTACGTACGTAACAATTCTGTTAAATGTTCGCTATATACGAACGTGATGAGTACACTAAATACAAACCAGTACAAACTGTCGTATAGGAAAGTGAACATTTCGGTTGGAAAACAAACATCCAATCCTTTTAAGGAGGATTTGTCAGAAGTAGCGATCCGTCCGTTCGCCATTGGACGAAGAGAGTGAACCTAATTTAAAATCAATAAACGTTATGTAAAGTAAAGGTAGAACTGGATACAAAGCACTTTCAAAATGCTCGTTCTTTCTGAAGACAGCACTCATCATCCATTTCTGTGGAGACTTCCTTTTGCGCGAAAGTTACAATCACTCGGGAAAAAAGAGGAAGAGAAGCATTACGTATTTAATTTGCATCTTTTCGCAAAAATGATCACTTATTGCATTCCGAATTCATTAGACTGGTGACTTCAACGCTTTTTCTAACTCTTAACTTGCTTGGCTTCTCTACTTTTATCGTTTGCTTCAGTTGTTCAACATGGACTTTGTTACTCGCAATTGTCAATTCATCTCGACAATGGCTTTTCTACTGCCAGTAAAAGAATTCGAGCCAAGCTTCTCCAAAGACAGAACCGTCATATTGGCTTCCATTTCCAACCTTGCTGGAACTCAGTTGATAGCATTGTCTTCAGTTTAGATCCCAAATCCCTGTCGTCAGCCGCTGCCTGCTTAATCTTATCTTACTGCTTACGATAGATAACCTGACCCTAACTAAATTCTGACACCCCATCGCCCAAAGAAAAAATATGTGAGGGCAAGACGAAAGTATGACTTGCCTCCTCACAAGACACAATAATATTCCATTTAAGACCTTACTTAGTCAGTGCTTTCACTACACGGACGCGGGCTTTTCGAAAGATTAGTCTACACTTCCGAACAAATAGCACCGAAAAGCCGCGATTTTAACCACTAATCAATCAGCGTATTCGCCTGTACTAACACCGTACTATAACTCAATGGACGTCAACTCAGCCAAGTGTCCGGTTTTAGAAATATTGTGTTGGCTGCAAGGCAATCTTTCTACCGTTAATATCTGCCACAAATTCTACAAACGCTTTGAAAATGTGTTTATTGGGTAGGTAGCCATTGCAGCTCTGGCAGTGCCACTAGAATATTCGATTGGAAAAACATCGTCTTTGCATAACAAGCATTCGTCGAATGGTTCCCCGGTTAAGCTCTCACCATTTACTTAGACGTGTAGAAACGTTGTTTGTTGCCCGTGTACCTGGCGCCTCACAAGTGACTCCGCTAAAGTACGCGGCATTTGAAAGCATAGCGTTCACTTTAAAAGCCTCCTATGAAAAACTCTGTAAACACTTGGAAACTTGCTTTGTTACCGTCGTACCGTGGTGAACATTACATACTAACCGAATATTTGTAGAGCTTTTCTTAAAAACAATTGTTTTCTTTAAAATATTAGCAAAAAATTAATTTGTTTTTTTTTTCAAATTTTTTGAAATCAAAATAATTTTCATATAGGAATTGGAATGTCAAGTGCTGCAAAGTTTGCTATTTTGTATGCATGCGTTTCTGACAGCGAAAGTTGCTTCAGTTGATCCAGCCTTTTTAAGTTCAATACAACAGACTTAAGCAGAAACCAAAAACAACAACAAAAACCTGTTAAAAAACTAATCTAATTTTTCTCATTAATTATACAAAAAGTCTCAGAAAAAAAAAAAAACAAAAAGCTAATATAGGATTTACTATATAAAATAATGCCTATTTATTACCAATGTATACTAAAGTGTTGCTGCACATTGCATTTGGCAACATATTAAGAAAAAAGAAGGTCTTCTTGTAAGGAAAACCGAAAAACTGAAGAACAACACAAAAATGCAAAATTATTTCTTAAGCAATTGCAATTTTTCTTCACATTTTAATGATTTAAAAAGTATTTGTTTACCGATTCAAGAAAGCAAATGTAAAGGGTGTACCAAAATGAGTTGAGACTCACTTTTAAAAACAAAAGGTATTTATAGTTCGGTAATACGTTTGCTTTGCTAAAAAATAATATTTTAAAGGTCTAATGCAGGGGAAAAGAAACGCTTGGTGTTCGCCTGCATATGATCGTTCGCTTGAATATCAAAACAAGCGTTCACTTTGGGAGCACTGTTCCCCATTCATCGATGAAGGATTACCAAACAAAGCGTTTAGTTCTCAGTCTGGTTCAGAAACCTGAATACGAGGACTATATGTAGAAGCATGGACTTACTTGGATCTTGAATTTATATAGAAGGCATTCGCAAGACTTACTACTTTTTTAAGCAAGTTTTGGCCTTTTATTGGCACATGTACGACGCTTTAAACGCACCAATTGATTACTAAACGAATGCAGATTTCTTTGCTTAGCTTCTCACGAAAGGAGTGCTTCTAGATGAGGCCGAAGCTCTGTTTTCTCTTTTAGTAGTAATAGAGGAGGCCGAAATGCAACAGTAGAACAGTGGTATCGTCTTCAGTTGATCTTTAATTATGGTGTAGCTTAAATCTCACAGCTGATGTCTTCCTTCCAGAAGCTAAGACCACTCTAACAGTCTTTAAAAAAAATGTGTTTATGAGAATTTTTTTTTCTCTTGTAGAAAGGAACGATAATAGATTAATAGACTAATTTATCCGTCCGTTGTACGTATAACATGGCTATGTTCAGAAACAGGTGGGGAAGAGAGAGAGAGAGATAGGGGGTTTGGCAGGCAGCAGCCTAGTGAGAGTGTGCCCAATACGTAAGTCTTTCCCTACTAAGCGCTAAGAGCTGACTGTAGCTGCCGGCAACGTAAATTCTACTGCACTGAAATTTGAAACCGAGAACACAGGACTTGATGGTGGCGATTCTCATCTACTGAGCCACTGATGCAGATCTAGGAGGCTAGCGTTGTGATCAACCAACCAGTCCAAATGAAATTAAAAAAAAATATATATATCATTTAGCCTACACTCCATTATATAGAGAATCACGTAGGATTTTATAAAGAAGGGTTTAGATAAAGAAGTTTAATCGTCGACCGATAAAGGACACGATTTTATTGCATCACGTGATCAAAACTTTCAGACGAAAATATAAAAGAAGAATCTTCGAGATTTTCACAGTTTCTAATTTACCGAGGGCATAACCATTTTGTAGTCTAGAGTTCCAATCGATCAATGTTTGTCAATGTTTGTGTCAAATTTCTGCTTCCTCTCTTTGTTTTTGCGACTTAAGCGGTCTCACAAAAATTGCCGGTCAAAATGACCCATCACAGCGATTTTAATATTAATAAAAAATATTTAAAATAACCCATCGAAAATATTGTAAGGATACAACAAAAAAAAAGACAAAAAACTCTCTTTTATACCCTACACCACTTGTGGTACAATGATATATTACCTTCGTGCGGACCCATAACACTTGGAGCACCCAGAATCACTTGACATAGACGCTCCTTTTATTGCACCGAATTACTTGCTGAATCGATTTTAGCTTGTCTGTCCGTCTTGTTTTCTTACTTTCAACCTACAGGTCGGAATTTTTACGGCCCTTGGATGAAATTTGGTACACTGACATGTTTCGACTAAAGGACGCACGCTAATGAAATCGTTCGAATCGGACCACTCCGCATATAAAGCCTTATTTTAAAAAGTTATTATACAAACAACTGCATTAAACAAAGTTATGTAGACTATTTGATAGTGGGCTGTGTCCCACAATAGTGCTTTCACTGGCTTTTTATTGAGCAAATTTATAGTGGTCTTACCCCTTTGGACTCTTTCGCTGCTTAATGTGTAGTTAATTGTGACACGATATTCGGATCGTACGCAAAGTTTTGCAGTAAATGATGATAATTCTTGTTCATAAAATATATTTACAACTAAAATGGTATCGTTGATCTAACAATTTTGTATTATAAACGTATAAAGAAATAACACTCAGTGGCAATGCAGCCAAGTACATCCTATGACATAAATATTTATATATAATAATATTATATATTAAATTACGATATTTACAATACATTTTAACCTAAACACACCGTAGTTAGTTAAAAGAAAATTTTTTTATTCAAAAAATTTTAATTTCAGTTTTCAAAATACGTAGATATAAACTTAACTAATTGTAAAGAATGAAATACGTTCGAATTTTTTAATGAAAGTAAGCCCTTAAAGTATATAATTTTTATAATGCCTGCTCGAAGCCCCTAATTGATGATAGTTACCTATTATAAGTGCAAGCATTTAAACATTTATCTGCTCCTCCTTATCAAAAAATCAAAAAAAAAGAAAAACAAAAAAAAACCCTTAAAAGAACTCTCATCAACTTGAAATAAAACTATTTCAAAAAGAGTGAATGGTAAGAGTTTTTTAAATAAATTTTATGTTTTATTTTAATTAGAAGATCTATACATAATTCAGAAGGCTGAAGTTATTTTATAAGATCACAAAATTTATTGAAATCCGATATTTTCATCATACTTCCCCATTTATTGTTTAGCTTTAATATTCTAATTACGAGATAACGAGATATCGACGTGTTTCTAAAACTTTTTCGGTTTTATCAATTTATGTTTATGCAAAGCTTAAATTTAAATGTTAAGAAAAGTTTCATGAATTTAAAAAAAAAATATTCTAAATGTAGGCAATAAAAAGTATTCTTAGGCTTCTCCTATAAATATGCATTAAACCAAACAATTTATATGCTGATGATTTCACAAGTATCTCATTACGTCCAGTATTAGTTTTACGCGAACTTTTCCCATCCTACACCCGAAGTATGTACAATTCTTTTACACCTACCACCGAAGGATGGGTTAAATTTATCTTGTCGTAATGTTTGCAACAACAAGAAGGAAGCTTTAGAGACCTTTTAAGGTACATATATCCTTGGTCAAGGTAAAATCTCAAATCGATTAAGCCAAAATTGATGTATAGCAAAATTTTGACGTGGAAAATAATTTCACGTCATACAATTGAATACAAAAGGGATTTGTTGTGCTGTTCAAAACAAGACTTCCTTGCGAGCTCAAAGCATAAGTCAAAAACCAGCGACCAGACCATGGTATAGATTTCCATCATGACTCAGATTCCTCAAATTTTAAAGACGACACTCTAACGCGGCTATTTTTATTGCATCGATCATCTCCTGCTCTAACTACTTCGATGGCCGACATTTCATGAGTCTTTTTGATACTTTGTTCCATTCTTGCATTTCTAATGCTAAGAGAATATAAAACTTTTCGTTTTTCAATCAAACAAAAAATTATTATTTAAGACAAATTTACTTAGTGAACAGTTCCCTATTTTCTTTTGATTTACGGTTTTTTCTTTTTAAAATTGGTTTTATTCTGTGTATGAAGTTAGCAAGTGCTAATTATTTTATGAGCCAACATAAATAATTTTTGTTGATTCTTTCGAAAACTGGAGGAACTCTCTTTAGCCCTTGTACATATTTTGTCACCTTTCGTGATAGTTCGACTGAACCATACTTCGTCACCAATGTGCGCTTGCATTATACCATTGCATGCACTGTTCTATAAATTGTGGTCTTCATTTTCTGCGTTGCCTTATGCTTGCTATGCTACCTATAAATCAATAAACAGTTGGATTAGGTAGCCGGCGTTATCCTCTGCGATGAACCAAGTGATTGCCCCATATAAATGGCAACTGTCGTGAAAGGATTAAGTACAGCTATTGTTCTTTTTAAAAAGTTATTTCACAGGTGCCTCTGAAATCCCGCATAAAACCGAACTAATTTTATAATGGAATAAGACAAGAATGAAGAGGGAATATATAAGCACTTCAGAACAATATTCGAAATGATTGAAAATTTGCAATCATTTCTTTTCTATTTCCTTTGAAGAAATCTAAAAACAATATCTTCTTCCAATGAGATTTTTCTTTATATAGAAACTCACTAGATAAATTAAAAATTGATTAACAACTTCCAAGGCAAATCGCATAAACAAGCACCTGCATTAATAAATCGTTCCACTTTAGCTTTGAAAATCCACTTTTAGTTTCCAACTGCTACACTACTATGAAAATCAATATCACTGTCTTGGGGTACTTTTTTATATGACTGAAGACTTTATGTTTAGTGTATAAGTTTAAATTTATCTACTTCGACTCGAAGACCGAATAGAAATGCTTCCCAGAAATTCATAGACGATATATGATAACAGAGAAAACTGCAGCTTTTGAGAATGCTCCAAGCGTTGGAAACTGTTTCTTTTGGTAGACACTTTTGTGAAAATGAACTTATTCAAGTTTTTAAAGTGTTGGAATGAAATTATGAAATGCTAGGATTCTCATATATTTATAAAGAAATTTAAATAAAATTTTAAAAAGTTAGTTATAAAAAGTGATATAACTCTTATGGTTGCCTAAAATGCAACCGCTGGCAAGTATGCTATATGAAAATGTTTTTCACATATGCCTGTTAATATACAAAACGAATTATTATTTATTTTACGCAGTTACCCCCAAAAATAGGCAAGCAAAAATTGTTGAATTTAAAGTAAGCAGCAGCGAATTTAATGACAGTTATGCCTTACTTGATATAAACCCTTTGCAATTAACATGTTTGTGCACGTGAATGTTAAAAGCACTTTTCGAGCCGACCACAGAACTGAGCACAAGTTTTACAAGTGCTTACGATACTTAACTTTTTTAAACATCGCACGTCAAGTATTGGTTGTATAGTTCGTAAAAGATGTGAGAAATTATTTTCACAAAATATGAATAAGTTTTTTCAGTAATACACAGAGTCATCATAGTTTTTTTTCTTTTTTAATATGCAATGAAATCTAAACGGTAAAAAATATTAAAATAAATTTGCTATTATTTTGGATATTGATTGGTTCATGCCATCTTTTTATTTAAAAATTATTTCAGGTAAATGACCCTAGGCCTCTAGGCTTCTTGCCACCTTCCTACATAAATCTGCTCTTATTCCAGGAATAACCTTGATCGCTTTGGCCTTGATTGAGCTCATTGTGGGTTCGTGGAAAAACTCCAAGAGAATTATATTTCATGATCTTTGCGATAAGCTTACATAGGCATTTTTTGATATTAAACGATCGATCGTTGTATTTCTCTCACGAAATCGGTGATATATAATAAGATTTTTACTTGAAGCAACATAACATCCAAGTCGAAGTTATTTACTTTGTGCGACCAAAAATCAATTATCTTGTTTCTTGTAGCGTTCTCCACTGAGGGTAACTGCAATGGCATTTTCCTATTCAAAGATAGCACTTTTAGCCTAGAAACCACGCCTAAAAGTTATTTTTGTACAAGTTAAAGTCCTTTTAGAACAGCAGGTGTGTTTTCTGCCCACTAAAAAAGCAATAATCCTTTTATTTACAAGGTCATTTAACCAAATACGATCTTCATCCCACATACATAAAACGAAACCCAGAGTACATTGTTTTAACCAGTCGTGTACGCTGCACAAGAATGTATATAGCATTTTGAAAAAAAAAAGTCCTTCAAACATGTGTCTTGTTTACCTTTACCTTCGAAATCACAAAATGGATGACCTCGTAATTGGACAAAATATCTTAGATCTTTGAAAAGCTTCAACACAGAATTAAATATCACTTAATAATTTCAGACTGCAACCATTCAGATATCACACCATAAGCTAAAATAAATAATATTTTTCTAATCTAAACGATTCGTTATTACTCTTGTGATCTTATGAAAGGAGCAGATGTTCGTTAAGAAAAAGAAAATTTTCAGTTTGCATAATTACACCCTATACTACTTGTGCTGTAGGCAACACTCAGAAGAGCTTGAGATACACCCACCTTTCACAACACCGATCGAATCAGAATTATTTTTTGCTGATCGATACAGACCTAAGCTTGCCTGTCCGTCTGTCAGTCCTCGTTCTTTATGTTCAACCTAGAGATCGCAGTTTTTGAGATATTTTGATGAAACTCAATACACTGACCCGTTTTCACCCAAAAGCGCGGGCTATTGAAAACGCTTCGAATTGATCCACTTTTTCGATTACTTCCAATATAACGCTTAATTTCGAAAAGTCGTTGCATGAATAATTGTATTAAGCAAAGTGGTGTAGGGTATTTAATGGTTGGCCATAGCCTACTATATTGTCTGTTTACTTGTTTTCATAAATGAGTTTATCATTCAGTCATCATCATCATCGTACATAATCGCTTCATTCTGTACATATAAATACATACAAAATATAATTGTACATTCGAGTCAATTGCATCTGGTGTCTTTTTCTTGTTATTGCCGTGATATTAAGCAAGTAAAAATTCATACATACATAATATATATATATTAAAACAAACACAAAACAAAAAAAAAAAAAGGAAGAATGCAATCAAAGCTAACGACAAATTATACATTTGAAAGAAAAAACCAACAACAACAACAATAACAAAATAAACCACCATAACAAATGCGCATCACAGCATCAGGCAAACAGTTATTTCAACAACTGAAATCCACATTTAACACGCATATAACAAAAAGAATAATAAACATTAAAAGCTTATTCAGATTTGCATAGTAAATCAGCAAACGCGGAAAATCTATGTAAAGGAAAACAAAGACAGACAGACAGACAGACAGACTGACAGAATAGAGAGACAAACAATCAAACAAACAAAAAACAAATGAAAGACAGCAACTAAAGCTAAATAGCTAACAAGAACCGCAACAGCTACAGCAGCAACAACTACAACGCAACTACAACTCAACTCATCAACCAAGTCATATCAATTACATACATACACGAAAAAAAAAAAAATCCAAAAAATAAAAAAAAAATTATTAAAAAAAATAAAAATGCAAAAACTGAATAAATTAAATAACAAAATAATTTAAACGCTACAAATGAAAGTAAAACAAAAAAATAGTAATAATAATTTATTTATCTATACACACATGCATAATTATACGCATACCTATTGTACTTATATACATTCATGCATACGTACATACATAGCCAATAATATTTATATATAAAAATAATTTTTTTTTTTTTGCTTTTTTTTAATTGCTATTAAAACTTAATGCTCACGCAATAGTATGTGTAATATATGTATGAACGAAAATGACGCTTACATGTAAAACTGTTAATGAAGATAATTTTTAAATACTATATCGTAACACTTTACTTGTATTTAAAAAAATTATAGCAATATTTTGATATTACCGTTGGCTTCGTCAACATTTCAAAATTGTTTACAAGTTAAACGTAGTCCGTAAGCACATTGCGAGAAAGAACTTATGTTCTGTTGAATTTTTTTTCTTAATATGAGCCAATCAACGAGAAGATGTCTCCTGCTCGTGTGAGACTGTGATGGTCAGAAAGAAGCGAGGAAAAAGAACAGCATAGGGGACGGAAATGACCTCAGCCTGCTACCACTTCCTTGGCTTCATCCTTTCATTTCAAGATGGAACGAAAATCCCGTCCCTCGATATATTTAGGAATATATCCGTACACACTTCCCATCCTATTTTGATGCCATTTGGCAATCGTTTATGTGTAACTATACCGATTAATAACCAATACATACACATACACTATCTTATATAAAAATATTTGATAATTACCTGCTCCTTGAACGATTCATCGGATTCCTGAACCAACCTAGAAGCTTTAAAGTAAAAATTTTATGCCTTTTGACGCCAAGACTGAGCAAATATAAAAATAATGTTTCCTTCTTTTTTGTAGGCAGATCGATTGCTCGATTTTCAGGGTATAATTTTGAAAACTTGCTTACCGATCTCGCCAGAGCGACAAGAAGAAAGACAGTCGCATACACAGAAAGACAGATAGATATGGTGAAATATTCTTAAGGAGAAGAATGATGACAAAGGATGATGTCAAAGGACAATTGTTCTTAAGAAGTAGAATGATGGCAAAGGACAATTATGAAATATTTTAAAAAATTCAAATGTTTTTTGATTGTTACGCAAGATTGAAATGAACAACTTTTAGTCGACTTCCAGCAAAAAAAATTCGAAGCCATATATACAGCATTACTTACCCCTTCTGAAGTACGAATATTCAACAAATTGTAAATAAGTCTTTTTCCCGCTCGTGTTATGTTAAGTCGACAGTGCCTGCCGGTTTAAACCTGTCAAATCGGTTTCAGCCTGCCATCGATATCAATCTTGAAAAATTTCTTGTCCTTTCCGTCGAAAATTTCCGGATATGATTGGCATACATGCATTTACATATATGTATAGTGTAAATCGAACAAAACGTATGTATATATATCCTCAGTTAAATCCGACAAAATGTATTTTTTAGAAGCAATATTCAATATCAATATATTGCTAGCTTTCAAATTGATTCACATGTTTCGTTGAGTGACTAGCATAGGACAATTGGCCAAGCTCTTATACACTAGTTACCATTATTTGCTTAGGACATTGAAAAATAATATGTTTTTTAATGAGCATTCAAAAGCGGTCTGTAGGGGTTCCGAAAAAGGGATAATTAAATGTATTTTTTTCAACTTCTTGAATGTCGGAAAGAAGTGGGGAAAAAGAAAAATATAGGGACCGGAATTGGCCATAACTTAGCGGATATACGCGAAAGGGTAAGGTAAGGGTTGCCCCTTTACTAGATAGGAGCTGATCGTAACTTCGAACAAGTATGTTCTACCACGTTGAGATCTGAACCGGCGGACAATGATGTCGTAGTCGCTACTTTTATCTGTTTAATGGAAATTAAAATATTTTTTTATATCCTATGCCGCTTATGGGGTATATTAAGTTTGAGCGGATGTATGTATCATCCAGAAG